CCAATTGCCCCCTTGTGAGCACCGCCGACCCTTGGTGGGTCCGACCTTCGCGCCCTGCCGTCGGCAAGGGGGGGGGCGGCGCTGGCGCAATTGGTCCGCCCGTGCCTGCCCCTGCCCGGAGGGCGGCCTCGGCCAGAGCTGCCCGCAGCGGTGACGGTGGCCCGCACGGGCTCGGCCCAGCATTGGGAGCGGGGACGTGCCTCGGGGACGCGTCGTTCGATCGAAGAGATGACCAGGCGCCAGAAACATAAACTTGTGGCGCTCCGCCCGGATTTCTTGGATCTGCGCCTGGGCCCCCCTGGCGGCGCCTCCGGCGCCGCTCCTGGCGCGCTCCGTGCGCCAGGGAAGGGGGGGGGGGTCCAGCCCGGATTCAAGAAATCCGCGCGGAGCGCCGAAAGTTCATTTTCATGTCTAGCGTTTTTTCTTCTTCTATCTTATGCTTCCTAGATGGGGTCGGAGTAGATGGGTCGGAGGATCGGGCCTCATCGCCGATGCATCGGCGATGCGGCACGTTGTGAAGCCCACTTTCCTCCACGCCGTCGTCGCCGATGCATCACCGACGTCGCCAGTGCATCGCCGATGCACTGGCGATGCATCGCCGATGTATGGGCTATGCGGCGAGAGCCTCCGACCCGACCCAATCGGACCCCATCGAGGAGGCCAAGTAATGAGGGGGGGAGATACATGGGGGGGGCAGCGGGGGCTGCAGGAAAGGGGCCCTTCAGGGCCCCTAGCAGGGGCCTTCAGATCCTCCAAGGGGATCTTGAGGGCCCGACAAGGACACCTTTCTTCCACCCCATTGATCGCCCCCCCCACTAACTGGCGCCGAAGAGCCCTGAATTTATTCAGGCATGTCTCTCTACCGGAGGAAATTCAAACATAGCCACAACATGTCTGGGGACGATGCTTCCCTATCTGTTTGAGTATGTTTGCATTTGTTTTGAATATGTTTGAATTTTGCTCCAAAATCCGCCTGTAGGAAGACATGCCCGACCTAAGCTCATGTCTCTGACGAGATGTGTTTCGTTCAGCCACGGCGTGGTGTCTCGATTCTGGGCCCGGGGGCCACCGAGAGAGAGCGGAGCCGGGGCGAGAAGTTGCTTCCCCCCCAAGGGGGGAAGGGGTCGGGAGTGGCCGCGTCTCGGCGTTGCAGATCGAGGCACGTCACAACGGCGGTGCAGATGTGACGCCTGGGGCGTGTCTGTGCTGCCATGCATGTTGCAAGGTCCGGCTGCATGCGAATTCATGCAGGCACCTTGGGCACTTCCCTTCTGGTTGTGTCGCCCAGGTGTCCTGTCCGGGCGCGAAGGGGAAGAAGTCGGGAGATATGTGCAGGGCCGCGGAGGGAGCAGAATCACGTCGGGGCTCGAGAGACGGGGGTCAATCAGGAGGGGAAACGGCACACAGACTCAATGAATCTTCGACCCCCCAGGAAAATATGGGAAGATGTGGGAAGTGGGGGGAAGACGGAAGCCCAGAAAAATATTAGGAAATATGGGGAATCATGGGATTTGTGTATATTTGTGTGCCCCAAAGCGTCTTCAGTCAATGCAAACAGGGGCCCGTCAGAGCGCCAGATGTCGCAGGATCTTGCAGATCCAGGGTTGCATTGACCCAGGCTCGGGTGCAGGATCCCGCAGGATCCTGCAGGATTTGCAGGAGCCGGGCAGGATCCTGCAGGATTTTGCAGGATTTCGTGATTGATCCGGGTCAGCAGAACCACGATCAGGTCGGCGGATGTGTGGGTGTCTGGCCGACCTTGGTCCCCCTCAGCTCCACAAGGGGGTGGCGCCAATGGGGGAAGCTGAGCGCGCCGTCAGGTCTGACCGACAGAAATTGGGACGAATTGGGAGGCATCACGAGCATTCGAAACAAGCTGAGAGACATAAACTCGCATTAAATTATAAGTCGGGCCCCGTAGGCCGTTTGGTAGTGTTTTGAGCGCCGTCTGGCTCTTGCAAAAGCGGCGGCCTGTCGCCTCCCCATCTCCATCACCCCTATGTGGAGTTGCATGATCATCATTGGAGTACAGATGACTTCGGGTCGCTACCGACGAGATCAGTCACTACCGCTGTTGCGTCAGAATCCGGTATCAGTCGCGACTGTTCTTCTTCGAAGTCGTCTGTGACCGACTGGTCGCGACCGTTAGGTCACCATCGGTCGCGATTGGCCGCGACCGATTTGGAGTGCCGAGTGGTTACGGTCGATGAAGACCAGAAACATCTGATATCCAATGATCTGGGGAGGGGCGCCAAGAGGTACAATCTTATTTTTATGTGCTGTTCGCCTGGGTTTGTCGGCCTTGCCCGCAGCCCGCCCGCGTCGGGTGCAGGTCCCTGTTCGGGGGCCCCCCTGCGTCCCCCGCCAGCCCCGTCCCCGGCCTGCTCCGCCGTCTCTTCGGGTCTTGATTCCCCCTCTCGCTGGACGGGATCATGCGCAGCCTCCGCCTCATTCCTCCTCGCAGCGGGCATTATTTAGCACCAGCATCTCATGAACATAAACGAACAGCATGAACATAAACGATTCGGGCTCCGCGCATATGTCTCGGATCGACGTAGGGGCGGGCGGCAAACGGCGGGTGCCGTGCCCAGCGCAACACCCTTCCAAGAAAAGGCAAGTCGAGATGACGTCGTGCTCCAGAGGGCGGGAATCTTTCAGATCGTAAGAGTTGCAGCCAGGTTGGCACATATCCCCACCAGCCCACCCAGAAACGGTTTCTGGGCATGTTGCCGTGGCATGTGGCGGGGGGCGCAGTCGTTAAACACTTGAAGTGGGCACTGGTCGAACCAGGCACGGGGCCAGCCCCAGCAGCCCCCGCATCGCCTACCATCTGGGAGCCTCTCGGAGGCCTCTTGGATCGGAAGCTGGAACATATACATTACCAGTGGCGGGCGGTTTTTCTATCCCAGGACTTTTTTGAGGGTCGGGGACGACGTGGGGTGGTGTGGTGTCTTTTTTTCCCTGTTTTCCGGGGGAAACAACGCAGAATGTATACACCAGGATCCCGTATACACCATGATTCGCTTTCCTGTGCGAGATTCAGTATGAGGCCAGACAAACCCAGATCATCCGCGACCGCCCTAATCCGGTAGCGAGGTAGCAGAACCGGTCGTTACTGGAATACTGGAATCCAGCGATGAGATCCGGTATCGAGAGTCACGCGTTCATGGTTGAATCGGCGTGGAAATCCTGGTAATTGGTTATTGAAATGTTGTTCGGCGATATTGGATTTCGGCGTCTCGTCGCTACCGAAATCCAGCGCCGTCGTTACCGAATTTCGATGCCAGCAATGCTGCAATTTCATGGTCGCCGCTACCCAATCCCGTCGATCATACGGTGATCATGGTGATGGTGGTGGCGATGACCCCGCCTTCCCGAGCGGTCGCCCTGGCCTCCAGAGGCCCGCCTTGGTTGGTCCCCTGAGCCGACAAGGGCAAAATCCATACCAAACGTTCTGCCCGGACCTCTTCACTCACGCACACGGGGACTGCAGGGGCTGACGTGCTCTTACCCCCCCCGCGCGCTTCTCCCGCCGCCCGCCGTGCCGAATTCGGCCACGTAGCAACATGCCATCCTGTCTTCTGTTCATTCGGCAACAAACCATGGTCTTTCGCGTCGATTCGCGGCTGAGAGTCGATGAGGTAGCGTCGATGTTGCGTCGATTAGCGTCGATGTAGCGTCGATGAGCGTCGATTTTGCCAACGCGCATTGTAAGGACGCGCGCTTCTTCTAAAGGGTACCCTTTGTGTCCTTGCCTCTACGGCCCGTCTTTTGCCGCGTCCACGGGCCAGCCTCTCAGGCCGCCGCCCAACTACTCCCGATATCGGCCTTCAAGGGTCTCTCGGCCTCACCACCGGGCCCCGTACCATGCGTGTTCATTGTATGCTACGACAGTGGCACGCAGATGTGCGGGCTTCGTGGTTTGGTCTGGGCTGGAGGCTCCACGAGGGTTTTTACCAGAGGGTGGAGATAGATGCACTTCCAGCAGCGCGAGTCGCGAGTTTGGGTGCCTTCGGCTGCCAGGCGGCATGCCGGGGTAAAAGCCGCAGAGGGTGGCGCGGGGCATGCTTGGCAGGACGACGAGCTCTGGATCGGGCTGGTGCCGAGCGGGTCCTGCAGGCCCGACAGGCTCCCAGGTGGGGAGGGGAGAGGATGTGGCCGGAGGGTCGGGAGGAGGGAGGGCAGTGAGGGGGAAGGGAAGGGAATTGATTTGGCCAGGCCAAATCCTGGGCTCGGTGGTGTACGCCTCTTGTGGCTCGGCCAGGGGAGCCTCGTAGCCATTCTACATGCACACAGGTACCGCAGACTCATCTGAGCCAACTTGTCCTTGCCCCACTGCTGCGCCAAGGCCACTGGATTCCATATGGCTCGTATCGTCTCCCACTCCTGGCACCTCCTATCCTCTTCTGCTCGGGAATTCAACAGCGGTGAACCCTAGAGAGGGCTGAGGGAAGTAGGTGGGGAGGAGGATGAACAAAGGAGTGTTGGGATAGTGTGATGGGGCACCGCACTGGGCTTGTGAGCTGGCTTGCCACCCCTCAACTCTGCAAGAAGCCCAGCGCCGTTACGACAAGAGCTGCCGCACTCGGAAGGTCTTCGCTATCTTATCTGAATGTGATGTTCTATGTCTGTGTTCCAATTTCTTTGCACCCTTGCTGGAATGAGGCTGAAACTAAACAGCGAAAGCAACGAATTCGATCCGCGGTCAAGCCTCCAAATCAGAGAGCATATTCCAATTGGCTGGAAGGGCCAGCGCCGTTACAACAAATCTGCTTTCACCCTATCACCCCCTCCAATCACCATCCAAATCCCCTTCTCGACGGCCTGCTGGGCAGCCCAGCAGCAAACGCCAGAGTGAGGCGAAGGCTAAGGAGGACGGGAGAGGACAGTGTATTGATATGGAGGTTTAGGAGCGAGGAGAGTTGAGGGTCCACTGGAACCCCTCCGAAGCAGCCTGGGATTTAGCTGCCAAAACTCTTCTCATCCAGATTGGGTCCTGCCAAAATGCAAAGGGTCTTACACAGAGCTTACTTGTTGACCCTGAATGGCATAGATCCTGAACAGCGTGTCAAGATGCTGACCCACAGCTTCGCTGTTTAGGGAGCCCCTGCTTCATCACACGTACTGGCGCGCGCGAACCAGCCTTTCCTAGGCCTCCTACCTTTGTGATGAAGCAGCTGTGCCTTTGCTGTCTCCAAGGAGCGACGCCGATCCTCCAGGATTTTGCACTCGTGAGCGCCCTGTATGATCAGGTCGCGCTTGGCATCCCTCACGTCCTCCAGCTCCTTCAAGGTGGAGCCGTTCACTTTGGAACCTTCCTGCATTGTGTTCCGCTCGGTCCCGGCGGTATTAGTCTGGTTGCGGCAACCGTTGGGCTTACCTTCGGCGGACACGTTGCTGTTCGCGTCTAGGTCGAAAGTCACCTCGTGCATTAGCCCACTTGCGACCTCCAGGTCCATGTTTAGTGGCGTAACAGCAAGTAGGAGAAGATCTCGTTCATGTAATTGCTCCCTGAGTGAGTGTGCAAAGGAGCTTCTTGTGTTCTTCCGTCTCCTTCTCGGCGCTATGGAGCTGTTCTTCCAGCAACCCGACCCGGGAAAAGAGAGGCTGCTGTTTGGTATCCCAGTCTGCACCCGCCGCGAGTACGGCGTTGTCTTGTTGCGAGAAACGGTCCTGAGGCCCTTCAGTATTGGAACGGTTCTCTAGTGAATGTTTCCTTCGATCTCGGCATGGTGTTCGTTGATGAAAGTGTCCTGCACAAGAAGGCCCTGCTTCTTTGATTCCGTAGCCATGCTCAGGTCCCCCCTTGATGTCGTCGAGCCTGTACCCGAGGACCGAGTAGCTGTCCTGCGGGTTCGCCTCCATGGTAGTCTGGTTCGCCACCTCACGAGTTTCGTCCTCAATGTGAAACTGCATGATGGGACGAATAGCTGCCGAGAAATTGCTTCCATCAGTACTGCATTCAGCGTTGTAGTCGAGCTCCGTCGCGTTCTGCTCATCGTTGGGCGGTGGTCCTTGAACATCAGGTGCCTTTTCACAACGAGGTGCATGGCATACTGCTTTTCGAAGAACGCGGGCACTGACAGGATGTGCTGCCGAGCGCCGCGTGTTGACCTCCATCACTCGGTTTGCCAAGTCCCGCCTGCCACAGTCCACAAGGTGCCGTCGAAGTCCAAGGGCATTAAGCTTATGGCCGACAACCATACCTGCCTCATGGAGCAGATCTTCTTGCGCCTCGAGAGGCTTGCCATTGGGCAAGTCGGATGGGGTCAAGTTGCATCGCTGCCTTGGCGGCCACTGACACCAGGTGCTCCTTGAACGCCTTGCGCACGTCCATATTCTGAGTGGCGCGCCAAACCCCCATGCGCCGAGCTTCGACATCATCCGAAAGATACGTCATCCCCCCTCAGAGGATGTGCCGCGCGTGCGGGCGTGCCTTGACCCAAAATGGCTACGGAAGAAGCAGCCTCCTTCAAGAAGCCTTCCCCCCTCCCCCTCCCCCCTTGCGCGAGCCGCCAAGGTCGCGCATTTGCCGGGGCACGGAAGCAATCGCGCGTTGAGCGCAGAGGACGAGCCGGGGAGAGGGGCAACCTGCCAGGAGGCTGGACAGTTTTTGTTGGTCGGCGGCCGCGGGGTGATCACGCGGCGGTCGGGCATCCAGGGCACGGAAGCAATCGCGAGTTGTTGAGCGCAGAGGGCGAGCCGGGGGAGGGGAGGGCAAGAGGCCAGAGACACACGGGGTGCCCAGGCCTCCTTGGCGTGCCGAGCATGCCACGGCGACCAGCCTTCTCTTGCTGATAGGTCCATTAACCACGACCACTACCATAGGTAGGAGAGGGAGGAGGAGGAGGAGGAGGAGGAGGAGGAGGAGGAGGAGGAGGAGGAGGAGGAGGAGGAGGAGGAGGAGGAGGAGGAGGAGGAGGGAGGAGGGGAGGAGGAGGAGGAGGAGGAGGAGGAGGAGAGGAGGAGGCGGAGGGAGGAGGAGGAGGAGGAGGAGGAGGAGGAGGAGGAGGAGAGGAGGAGGAGGGAGGAGGGGGAGGAGGGGAGGAGGGGGGGGAGGGGGGGGAGGAGGGGGGGGGGAAGGGGAGGGGTGAGGGGGGGGGGAGGGGGAGGGGGAGAGGGAGGAAGGAGGGGAGGAAGGAGAAGCAGGAGGAGGACGAGGACAAGTGTAAAACCAAGAGTCACCAACTATGTTTGAATAAACCCTCCCTCCAAGCTCCCTCTTCACAGGCCCCTGCAACGTCTCATTTCCATGGGGGGAACTGCCTCGTTGTAGGACAACCGTTCGAAGACCCTGAAGCATGTCAAAACATTGTTCTCTGGATTCCAACGCCACGGATCAACCTGACTGTTGCGTTTTGACGGTCTTGCATCGTGCCAGAAAGTCATTTTTCGGACTTCGACACCGCGATCGAACGTAGCTGTTTCACCCTCATAATCCTGAATCCTTCCAAAAAGCGATTTCTGGTATTTTGATCATGGGGTTCCGTGAAGCTCTTGCACACGTTATTAACGAGTGTGCGCGGCGCTAAGGCGGGAGCCACATATTGAAAACGGGACCGCTCTGAAACCGCACAAACTCTTGCAAAGCTAAAAAAAACGAATGTGCGCGGCGTCAAGGCGAGAGCCACATTTTGAAAACAGGTTCCCTTCAATCCGGGAAGCTCTTGCAAATTCTGAAACAGAACTTGCGCGGCGCTGAGGCGGGAGCCACATGTTTAAAACGGGACCGCTCTCAATCCGCGAAACCTTTGCAACGTTTAAAACGAATGTGCGTGGCGTCAAGGCGAGAGCTACATGTTGAAAACTGGTCCCCCTCAATCCGGGAAGCTCTTGCCATTTCCGACAAACAAGAATGTGCGCGGCGCTAGGGCGCGAGCCACATTTTGAAAACGACGCCCTCAATCCGTGAAATTCTTGCAAAGTTTGAAAGAGAATGTGCGCGGCGCTAAGGCGAGAGCCACATTTTGAAACGCCCCGTTGTCCATCTGTTAAACTGTTGCCCATTTTGTAGTTTCAGGGTCATACGTGCTGAGGACGTCTCAGGCGAAACGCCTGGCCCGCCTTGAAAACTTGTCTCGGTGTGCGACAGGGATAAGTTTTTGATAAGGAAAAGGATTGGAGGAGGGCGGGGAGGGAGGTCCTCCCTATCCTCCCCTCTCCCCCGTCCTACTCATGGTAGTGATGGTGGAAAGCTTGCCCATGACTTGCGGCATGGACATCGGCAGACTGGCTCCGGGCCCTTTCTGGACTATCAGAGAGAGGCCGAAACGCCCGCCCCAGGGTTCGAACAGGTCACGGGCGGAGAGCATCACGTCGTCTGAGGTTGGGTCTAGGCCTCGCAGGTGGGGGATCGCGCCGAATCGCCGACGCATCGGCCATGCGGCCCGATGGGGGGAGCTCGATTTCCTCCACGCCGACGTCGGCGATGCATCGGCGATGAGGCGCGGTCTCCCTACCCCATCGACGGTCAACCCGCATGGTAAGAAAGAGCAACTTTCCATGCTCATCGCGCGTCCTTATGAAATGGGTCGACTGTACTCGGACCCTATCCAGAAGGCGTCCAACGGGGGGGCCCGCCTGGGCGAGTGGCGGGCACGCGCCTTGGCCGTGCGCCCTGCCTGGCCTGGCCTCGTGTGCCTGCCGCGCACCGCGCGTCCAGCGCGCGGCCTGGCCTCGTGTGCCGCGGTGGCCTCCGAGGGTGCTCCGCACGAGCACCGGGCCTCGCTGCAGTGAGGGCCCCTCCCGCCCCCTCCTCTCCCCCCCTCCTCCTTCCTCCTCCTCCTCCTCATCCCCTCCTCCTCCTCTTCCTCCTATCCTCCTCCTCCTCCTCTCCTCATTCTCCTCTCCTCCTCCTGACCCTCCTCCTCCTCCTCCTCCTCCTCCTCCTCCTCCTCCTCCTCCTCCTCCGCCGCCTGCGCCCCGCACGCAGGGGCGGTCCCAGGGGAGGTGAAGGTACCCCATACCTCAACCCCCCCCTGCCCCTTTGCCCCATGCTGGGCCTCCTGGGAGGCCCTCGTCGCCGGCGCCAGATGCGCCTCGAAGTCCTGGTCGGAACGCGCCCGGGGAGAGGTCAGGGAAGCAGCGGCATCGGCATCTTCTGGTTTCCCCAAGGTCGGCGGCGAAGGTTTCCCCATCCTTGCAATTCTTGTAGATTCGGAGACATGGGCTCTATGCCAGGCGTCCCACTTGGGGCCCGAGTAGATGCGGTCGGAGGATGCTGCCGCATCGCCGATGCATCGGGGATGCGGCTCGACATCTAGCCTGATTTTGGCCACGCCGACGTCGCCGGTGCATTGCCGAAGTCGCCGGCGCGGTGCGTTGCCAACGTCGCGGGTACATCGCCGATGCATCGGCGATGTGGCGCGATCGTCCGACCCCATTCACTCGGACCCCATCTAGGAGGCCTCTATGAGCATATGTCTTTGATATAGACAACGGCCAGAGGGGGCGCGCGCGTCGTTGCTCCAACCTGGCTCCCAACCGCAGCAAACGAGTTTCGACCTCTTTGTTCACGTGGCTCACCGTTTCCTTGCCGGATCCTTCTTGGCGCTGAATTATCCACACGGCCTGCGAATTACGAGCAGCAGAAGAAGTTATTATTCTGCCTCTTTGTCTTGACAGAGTCTGTCCAGGCCCCGCTCGCGGGACAGAAGTTGACCTGGCCGCGTTGAGACCGCTCTCGTCATCATGGCCTGGCGATGGTGGGTGTGTCTGGGGGGGGGGGAGGGGGCCGGTCACGTCACAATTCGCGCCAGAAATATTTAGGAATGGTTGAGTCCCGCACGGCTCTGTCGCGAATAGTGACGGAGCGGGGCGCGTCACGGGCGTTATCGCGAATATCAGAACAGGAGCCCATGTTGCTACCACGTTCGCCACCGCCATCGCGTGCAATAGAGCTGGTGGGTATGCTTGTTCCCCACATCTTCTGTAGGTTTATTGTTCTCTCTGCGCGCCCCCTGCGCAGGATCTCCTCCTCTGTTCCTCCCCCTCCACTCTCTCTGCCTCGCTCACACACCCACGCACTGATCAGCATCATCATCATCAGCATCATCAGCATCATCATCATCATCATCACCACCACCATCATCATCATCATCACCATCATCGGCATCATCAGCATCATCATCAACATCATCATCATCATCAACATCATCATCATTAACATCATCATCATCATCATCATCATCATCGTCATCATCATCATCGACATCGACATCATCATTATCAGCATCATCGTCATCGTCATCGTCATTGTCATTATTGTATTGCATTATCAGTTTCATGGCGATCACCATAACCATCATCATTACCAATTTGATTATCACCATCATCATCAGCAACATCATTGTCATTACCATTATCATCACCATCATCGTTGCCCACGTGGACACCCCGCGGAGGACCTCACGCACCCACACGCACACATCATCATCACCATCACCATTGTCATCTTAACGCACCCATTTGTCAAGCGGGAGCTCCCTCCCTGTGGGGCCCGCACTTCATGTAGGCAATCCAGTGCAAGGCATAGCATTCGGGTACCCCGAGGGCCAAATCATGAGGATGTCTCCAGCGGGGGCCTCGTGGGTAAGTGAAACGCGCGGAATCAGGCGGGAGCCCCCCCCATATGGGACCAGCATTTCTTGTTCGAATCCGAGCGGGTCAACGGGATCCTTTCTACCAGGTGTAGCATGTGAGCACCCTAAGGAGGCACATCGTGAGGATTTCTCGAGGGGGCGGGGGGGGGAGTCGTTTGCAAGTGAATTGCGAGGACATTTCAAACGGGACCCCCCCCCCTCCCCTATGGGGCCAGCACTTCATTGTGGTAATCCGAGCGGGTCATCGTGAACACTTACCAAGAGAACGCCCAAGCACCCCAAGGAGGCAAGTCGTGAGGATATTTCGAGCGGGGCCTCGTTCGCGAGTGGTTTGCGAGGAAGTCTGGGGCGGGAGCTTCCTTCCTATGGGTCCCGCATCTCATGCTTGCAATCTGGGCGGGTCATCTGCTAATTCTACAAGGCATGGCACTTGAGCACCCAAGGGGGGCTAGTTGTGAGAATGTCTCGAGCAGGGGCCTCGTTTGTGAAAGAATTGCCAGGCAGTCTCGGGCGGGAGCCCTTTTTTTACCTATGGAGTCCGCGCTTCATTTGGTAATCCGAGCGGGTCATTGCAAACATGCACCAGGCATAGCAATTGAGCGCCCCAAAGGGGCAAACGCGGTGCTTCCACCTGAGCACCCTGAGGGATCATTTGAGCATCTATCGTGGCCGCACGCCGTGCGCCGCCCTGGGGTTCACATGACGCACGCGTCCTACCTGACCTCCGCGATGTCGCCGGGTCCGACGCTGCGCACTGGCGCCACCATCGACTGCGCCACGGATGAGCATGCTGGTCTCACGGGCGTGTCGGGCGTGCAGTCGTTGTCCCACCTCTATGTCATGGTTTGCCGCGCCACGCGCATGTGGAACATGCCGATCAACAAAAAGGCGGCCGCCCACGCGAGAGTTGATGGAACGCGGGCCGCCAGCGTCTTTGCGGAAGGCGGTCGGGGAGTTCGAGTGGAGAACGGTGAGTTTCAAGGCTGCAGCGGGGCAGCTCGCGGAAGAGCTGGGTTTCGTGCTGCTTCCCGCCAGAGCACGGCGGCGACCATTTCGAAACTTGCGGACCTGCGGGGTGGTCCCAACGGCTTGGTCCCGCGCCCCAGCGGTTCTTTGGCTTGTCCCAACGGCCTGGCCCGCGGGATTGCCCCAACGGCTTCGCGACCGGGCCATCGGAGATCGCGCCTTTTTCTGGTCGTGGTGGCGAGGGTGCCGAGGAACATCGGCACACACGCCCCAGCCAGAAGGATCGCGAGGTGCATGAGGAAAACAAGCGGGATGGAGATGAGGAGAGGGAGGAAATAGAAAACGTGGAGAACGAGGACGATGGCGAGGAGGAAGAGGAGGGGAGCAGGAGGGGGACGTGGAGGACCAGGAAGAGGAGGAGGAAACATATCACAACTGACATAAAAGCGGAGAGGAAAAGGGGGAGGAGGGGAGGCGGAGGAGGAAACGTGGAACGAGGAGGACGCGATGGACGAGGAGGGGGTGGAGGAGGCGCAACGGTGGGTGGGAGGAGGGCCTCCGCCAGGGCAAGGAGGAAACATCGAGGGGCAACCGAAATAGATTTCCGCGTGGGGGTCGTACCGTCGGAGTAACCTAGAGTTTGGTTCGCGAGCGTGTAGCGTTCTACAAGACACGTGCATTATGTTTCCGGCGAGTGTTCGCACACATGTGTGTTTACATACATATCTATACACACATACATTGTTGGACGACGAGTGTGTTCGGTGTTGAGGCAAGAGCGTGAATTTGGGAACCACTATTTTTTCAAGTTGTGCGCCGTTGGAACCGTCGCGTTGCAACATCGTAGAAGATCAGGAAGCCGCATGCGAAACGTTCAGCCTGCCCCACCGACGCGCCTGGCGGAGCGACAGGACGGATCCATCCCCGAAGAGCAAATATGGACGAGAAACTGCATCGTCAGGGCGATAATGTTGACAGGACACAAAACAAATGTGTGGGAAAAAGGAATGCGGCGGATGAGGGGGCGGAGGAGCAGGAGGAGGAGGCGGAGGAGCAAGAGGAGCAAGAGAAACAAGAGGAGCAAGAGGAGGAATAGGAGGAGGAGGAGGAGGAGGAGGAGGAGGAGGAGGAGGAGGAGGAAGGGCAGGAACATTGATGTGATTCAGGGGGTCGTTGGGAACAAGAGGAAGACGGGTTTTTGAAAGCTCGCAGCACAGGCTCCGACTAGACCAGGGAGCCGATGCCCGAGCGTGATGAGGAGGTGGAGGGGGATCAATGCGAGTAGAAGGAGCTGGATGATGAGGAGAGAAAATGCATATAACGACAACGAGGATTAACTGAGGAGGAAAAGGAGGGGGAGGAGGCGGAGGAGGAGGAGGAGGAGGAGGAGGAGGAAGAGGAGGTAGAGGAGGAAAAGGAGGATGAGGAAGAGGAGGAGGAGGAGGAGGAAAAGGAGGAGGGGGAAAAAAAGATGAGGCGAAGGACCAGTGGTCGCTCTTGCCTCGCCCTCACCTTGCCCAGACATTCGCTGATGTGGTTTTTGCCATGCGCGCCACCCCACCTTCCACGGTTGTGGTTTTGACTCCTGGATTCACTTGTGATGGTCCCGGAGCCCGATGACGGGCCCTTCTAGCTCAGTTCAGCTCTTCCGCCCAGCCCACGGTTTGGCCGCACGTGAGAGAGACCCTTCGCCTGAGTGGCCTTTGGTGTCCAGCTTTCCGGCGCTGCGGGGCGGTGGGGGGGCGGGCCGGGCCGACCGTCGCATCGCGTGCCACGATTGGCAAACCGCGCGGAACAAGGCCATCTTGCCCAGGGTCAATCTTGCGTGTATCGGCGGCGCGCCCCGGGGCAAGTGAGAAGGAGAAGGCCTTTTCCGCAGGCTCGGAAGTCTCTTGGCCTTCTGAGAAGTCTCCTGAGCTTTCTTCGTCGAAGCCGCAGCGCTCTCGTCGGGAGGCGCGAGGGCGTCTGAGAAGCCCCGCCGCCTTCCGAGGAGGCCTTCCCCTTCTCACTTCTCCCACCATTTTGCTCGCCGCCGAGGCTCGCCGACGGGTGTGCGTGGTGGGTCGGCTGCCCCCCCCCCTCCCCGCCGGACAGGGTCCTCGGCCGCCGCGCCCTCACGCCGGACGCCTGCGGGCTGCGGCGCGCCCCATCCCGCGGCCAACGGGGGGGGGGGGATGGGCTGATTCTCCACCGCAAGTGCCAGATGTAGGACAGGGAGGATGAGGAGGTCCTCCTCCTCCTCCTCCTCCTCCTCCTCCTCCTTCTCCTCCTCCTCCTCCCTCTCCAGGCGGCCCGAGTCCGCCCAGCAGCGCAACAGCCGCCTCTTGACATAAACAACACATCACACGAGCAGCGGGCCACGATGTTCCCTCCTCGTGCATAGAGCCGCACGGCGGCGGCGTTGGCCCGCGAACTTCATGGGCAGAGAGAGTGGATTGTTGAGAGCAGTATGCTACAACCCGTGCGTGGCGAGGTACACGGAGCGGCTGAAGGACACCGTGCTGGCGCTGACGAATAGGGACATCTACGTACTAGCAAAGTCGTATGGAGAGCAGATAAGCGAGACTCCTATGATCGACGTCGCCTGGGTGATAAGGGATGGGCTCAGGCGTAGTGCGTATGTTACTGCATCATGCGGCATCACATTCCTCATCAAGACTTCCAAGTTTCCCAGACCCACTATGGATCGGATATATCCCTCACCAGAGTTATTGTGGGGACGATGTGCTGCTACCAGCTTTCGGTCTAGATTGGAGGCGACTGGACTTATTGCGCTGTACTTCCCCCTTTCGGCAGGCATCGGCAAACCTGCACAAGACTCACGAGGAGTCCTGCCAGAGGATGGTGCGGTGTTTTCAGATAGCTTTGGAAGAGATGTCCTGCAAACAGTTCATCTCTCTTGTACTCACGGGTTTAAATGGTGGTCTCCCCTCGTCAAACGATGACAACGGAGATGGATCCTGTGGATATGGCAAGGAAAGGTACGCGTGCGTGCAGTTATGTCAGTGTTTTGAAGTGTGGGGCCTCAAAGCAGCCAACACTCATTACTACAACGCCAGTTACATTGATTTTTTTGTATTCCAGTGGAGATACTTAGTTTTGCTGAACGGTGCAATGTGTTATGTGAGACTGGTAGAAGGCTACAGCTACATGATGCTGGTGAAGTACGTCATGACTGGCCTGTGCAATGGGTTGTTCGTCGTGTTACAGCATTGGGGCAACTTCCTGAGCGGACTCCCCGTCCCAATCGTGAGGCGCTGTTCTGGTGCCTGCAGCAGGGACACAGAGGGCAGGAGCTGTTTTATGTCATGGAAAGGAAGTGCCAGGAGCATCACAACCTGTTGAACGAGCGCGAGACGCAAAAAAAGCTCGAGCGGATGAATGATGTTGTTGTGCATATTGTGGTCCGTTCTTAAGTGGAAGTGTTGCATACGAGCCCTCTCTACATGGAAGACCGTCAGCAGCAGACCGCACTATTACATCAAATAAAAATGGAGAGAGTTGCGCCATCAGCGGTCATGGGCCTTTACGATAGATCAAATTGCAGTCTTATCCAACACAATCATGCAGTAGAGCAAAGAGCAGAAGCAGTCCAACCATCGCTACTGGGACTCAAGTAACGAAAGAAGATGCGAAGAAATGCGATGGGCTGCCAAGGACAACAATTGCCACCTAGTGCAACGTCTTGCTCGATTGGAAAGAGGGCCTCGACAAAGGAAGCGTGCAGCGACACCGACGTCGACGGCAAGTGCAGCAGGATTGTGTACCAGGGTGGATCTACCCAGCGGGAAAGGAGGATGTTATGCTGTTGAGGCTGGCGCTGAGCTTGTTAAGAACGAGGTCATCGCTGAAATCCGACCAGCTCTCGCTGACGAAGAAGCTATGGAGTTATTTACTGATGACGGGATTGGTATGCACACGACAACATGGCAAATAGAACTTTGGAGAGCGCATCCAGCATGGTCGATACCCGAGGCGGACCTTGTTACAAAATTATCCCGGCAACGCAACCTAACAGCGATGTGTAGGAGCATATCTGGAAGCATCCCCCTTAAGATTCGGATGATAATCCAGTTGTAGAATTCTGCTGTTCTCGCAGTCGTAGTCGCATTCGCGATGACAGTCGCAGCGGCAACGGCAGTCGCAGTCACAGCCTCAGCCTCAGCCTGCCTCAGCCTCAGCCTCAGCCTGCCTCAGCCTCAGCCTGCCTCAGCCTCAGCCTCAGCCTGCTTCAGCCTCAGCCTCAGTCTGCCTTCAGCCTCGGCCTCAGCCTCAGCCTGCCTCAGCCTCAGCCTGCATCAGCCTCAGCCTCAGCCTCAGCCTGCCTCAGCATCAGCCTGCCTCAGCCTCAGCCTCAGCCTGCCTCAGCCTCAGCCTCAGCCTGCTTCAGCCTCAGCCTCAGTCTGCCTTCAGCCTCGGCCTCAGCCTCAGCCTGCCTCAGCCTCAGCCTGCATCAGCCTCAGCCTCAGCCTCAGCCTGCATCAGCATCAGCCTGCCTCAGCCTCAGCCTCAGCCTGCCTCAGCCTCAGCCTCAGCCTCAGCCTCAGCCTGCCTTCAGCCTCAGCCTCAGTCTGCCTTCAGCCTCGGCCTCAGCCTCAGCCTGCCTCAGCATCAGCCTGCCTCAGCCTCAGCCTCAGCCTCAGCCTGCCTCAGCCTCAGCCTGCTCAGCCTCAGCCTCAGCCTGCTTCAGCCTCAGCCTCAGCCTGCTTCAGCCTCAGCCTCAGTCTGCCTTCAGCCTCGGCCTCAGCCTCAGCCTGCCGCAGCCTCAGCCTGCCTCAGCCTCAGCCTCAGCCATGCCTCAGCCAGAATCAGCCCGCTTCAGCCTCAGCCTCAGTCTTGCTTTCAGACTCGGACTCAGCCTCCGCCCGCCTCAGCTCAACAATCATGAGCCTCCAGCCTCAGCCTCAGCCTGCCTCAGCATCAAGCCTGCATCAGGCCTCAGCATCAGCCTGCTTCAGCCTCGACTAGTCTGCCCTTCAGCCTCGGCCCAGAATTCAGCCTTGCCTCAGCCTCAGCCTGCCTCAGCCTCAGCTCAACTTCAGCCTGCCTCAGCATCAGCCAGCCACTCCAGCCTCAGCCTTGTTTTTTTTGTGCGTATGAGCCCTCAGCCCAGCCTGCCGTCTGCCTCAGCCTCAGCCTCAGCCTGCCTCAGCCTCAGCCTGCCTCAGCCTCAGCCTCAGCCTGCTTCAGCCTCAGCCTCAGTCTGCCTTCAGCCTCGGCCTCAGCCTCAGCCTGCCTCAGCCTCACCCTGCATCAGCCTCAGCCTCAGCCTCAGCCTGCCTCAGCATCAGCTTGCCTCAGCCTCAGCCTCAGCCTGCCTCAGCCTCAGCCTCAGCCTGCTTCAGCCTCAGCCTCAGTCTGCCTTCAGCCTCGGCCTCAGCCTCAGCCTGCCTCAGCCTCAGCCTGCATCAGCCTCAGCCTCACCCTCAGCCTGCCTCAGCCTCAGCATGCCTCAGCCTCAGCCTCAGCCTGCCTCAGCCTCAGCCTGCATCAGCCTCAGCCTCAGCCTCAGCCTCAGCCTGCCTCAGCATCAGCCTGCCTCAGCCTCAGCCTCAGCCTGCCTCAGCCTCAGCCTCAGAGTGCTTCAGCCTCAGCCTCAGTCTGCCTTCAGCCTCGGCCTCAGCCTCAGCCTGCCTCAGCCTCAGCCTGCATCAGCCTCAGCCTCAGCCTCAGCCTGCCTCAGCATCAGCCTGCCTCGGCCTCATGCCCCGCCTTCTCCTGAGCCTCAAGCCTGACTCCAGATCAGAATCAGCCTGCATCAGCATTTCAAAAATGTGGCCCGGGGGGAGTTGAATTTTGGGAACTTCGAAGAACACGAAGTGGCCTACAGTTGGCTCCGGGCATTCAAAATCATGCCCAGGAATGGAGTTCTGGGAACTCGAAGACCACGAAGTGGCCTACAGTTGGCTCCGGGCATTCAAAATGTGGCCCGGGAATTGAGTTCTGGGAACTCGAAGACCACGAAGTGGCCTACAGTTGGTTCCGGGCATTCAGAATGTGGCCCGGGAATGGAGTTCTGGGAAGTCGAAGAGCACGAAGTGGCCTACAGTTGGCTCCAGGCACTCAGAATGTGGCCCTGGAATGGAGTTCTGGGAGGTCGAAGAGCACGAAGTGCGTGACTGTTTGCGAAAAACGCATTCGGACACGAGTTCGGACACAGCTCCCCGGGTCCCGCCCCGACCCCCCTGTGGAGTCATCTGCTGCTTTCATTTTGACACCACTAGAAACCTATCAGCAAAAGCTGTTAGGTAAAAGTGGTTTCACGCAGTTGAAGTGGATCCGACATGGGAAGGGAGTCTCACCCAGCAGATGGCACTAACTGTTGTTGGAGCGTTTTTTAATTGTAAAGTACTTGAAGTACGGTATCTGGTACGCAAATGTCGTGCAATACTGGGATGAGGATAAGACGCACGTCAGTACCATAAGCGGGCTTGAGGTAAAAACAGTTCCGCTGTGCTCCACTGCTCAGTGAACTTCGCGCTCGCAGACTGGAGTGGCGGCAAACCATGGTGCAGGATCGGGATCAACACATTCAGTTCGTGTCCACGTGTTTTAGAAAGTTTGCTCTCAACGGAGGGTTATCTCGGAGGAGGGGATGGTGCGGCCTCATGCACATCCGCGGGCCGACCAGTTCCAGTATGACTTGGAGGCACTAAAGGAGTTGGAGATGGGGGGGACTATGTGGGGCACTGGAGGGAGCACGAAGAACATCATGAGTGAGGGCTACGAGGATTTCACAAAGGATGATTGTGATGAACTACGAGCTAAGATACTAACTACGCCCATTAAGAGCACGCACAAGCAAGTATATCATGAGAGCGAGTTCATATTCAAAGAAACTCTGGCAGACGGCACGATAAGCAACACGGCATGGCCCACGCACAGCAGCGGAGCTATCAAGGCTATCAAGCTATCAGCGAGCGAGATGTTGACGGCACCATACACACTGGGGGGCAAGGTGATGGGAAGCGAGTCAGGTATGTCAGAGCTACTCAGAGCCGCTGGCGGACATGTGACTGCGTGGCAATTTGGCTTGCAAGCCGGGGCTTCATGATACTAAGCGTGGCGAGATTAGAGCCATGAAGAACCATCGCATATTCCTCTCTGGTCAGTGTGCCACTGATCGGCGGACTGAGTGG